CAAGTTGCGGATTTACAAGTTCCGAATTTATCCCTAACTAAGGCCACATGTCTACAAGGGTTGGGGCTGCCTACCGGCACCCAGGTGGCAGGGCTCGCTGTTTTCTTGGTTGTTCTTCCCGGGCGGTCTTTCGGGCGTCAGTGCTCGGTTCCTGGTGTCTGGCGTGGTCGTTTGGTCTGGTGGCTTCTTCTTTCTTTGTTTGGCGGGCCCGTCTTAGTGTGTGGGTCGTACTGACTTACAGCCCAGCTAACGTCCGTTATGGCTCCGCTGCGCTTGCATCACGTCACCACGTCCTTCTGTGGCTCCAACCTCTGTCTCCGCCTCCATCACTCCACTTGCCTCGCTCTGCCGCTCCGATGTTACGCCACTCCATCACTGCCGCCATTTCCACCGTCACCGCCGCCGCTGTTGCTTCCAGTGCTCCTGCCACACACCCCCATACGGGGAGGGTGCCCCCTGCCACCTAAAGGCAGGTACCCATTAATCTACTCGCTTATATTTATTGCTTTTGAACCGCTGGGTGGTTTAAACATTTCTAGAAATGTCAGAATGTAATAATGATGTAGTAGGATGACATCTTCTCAATAAACGACACAATTATTAATATTATTTATTTATGGTTAAAAATATCTGTATCCCATAGTACTATAGATTCCCAAGGTGAATTGCAATCCATTTAAAAAGTGGGTAAAAATGACAGCCAGCTTAAAAAGCTGCTAGCTATTCCAAGTACAATAACTATGTATTTATAAAGCACCACAAGCATACAAAGAACTGTGCAGAATAACACAAAGAAAGGTCAGGTCCCTTTCCCTGGGATCTTGCAATCTGAATTCGTGGGGAAGGGAAGAATTAGGGGGGGGGGCAGGAAGGCAAAGGTGACAAGGCAGGAATGTGAGCCAAATCACTGACATGCATTTGGGCTTCATTTTAACTGGGGAAAAAGCTAAGAGGTTAAAATTGGAGTTGTCTTGGCAGAGCTGGGCATTGTTTTTGAGCTAGTGCTCAAAGGAAGAGAGGGGTGTTGTACCATGTAGATGTGCTTACAGGGTATTTGTGACATAAGGGCAATGGGATAGTCAGAGCTCTTAAAAGAGCAAGAAACCTGTAGGTAGATAGAATTGTGTGTGGGGGGTCTATATAATCAATACGTTTCCTGTCAGGATAGAGAACAATAGCAATTCACACTGGGAAAATACCACCGGGGGGGGGGGGGGGGTGGTTAACCCTCTTCTCCCAGCTCTGCAGCCCTTGTTCGATTTTCCCCTGCTCCAGAGGTCCCCAGCGTTTTTGAGCCTGTGTGCTCCTTGGGAATTCTGACACAGGGTGGCGGGCACCAGTGTTCCCTCTAAGCTGAGTTAGTGTGAGCTAGCTCACAGTTTTTTAGCCTCCAGCTCACACATTTTAGTCTCAGCTCAGGAAGGATGGCTCCAGAGCAAACTAATTTATGCAGTATCCAAATCACTTGCTCACAACTTCAATGCCAGTAGCTCACAAAGTAGAATTTTTGCTCACAGGACTCCACAGCTTAGAGGGAACATTGGCGGGCACAATGACAAAATAGCTTCTGTGAGAGGCAAAGCCAGCCACAAAATGACCACTGAAGGAGGTGAGCACACCCAGGAAGCCCAAATACAGGAAACAGGAAGATTAATTTTTAAAAAGCTACGGGGAAAGAGGAGTGAGAGAATAAAACAAACCAGCAGCTTGTGCTGAAAATAATCATTTTTTAAAATCTGCACAGCCATCCGAGCTCCAATACTAATCAGAAGCCCTGCTGGGCAGTAGCCCCACCTGGCCACACCCGCTTTCTAAAAGCACCTGATGGGCACCAGAAAAGGTGTCAGCAGGCAGGCATGGCACCCAAGGGCACCACATTGGAGATCTGTGCCCTACACCCACAGCTGGGGTTACTAACTTCCAGGTAAGGACTGGAGTTATCCCAACATTACAGCTGACCTCCAGACTATAGAGGTAGTTCTCCTGGAGGAAATGGCAACTTTGTAGGACAGACTCTGCGGTTTGACGTCCTTGCCGAGCCCCCCCCCTTCCCCAGACTCTGCCCTCCCCAGACATAGCCCCCAGGAATTTCCAAAGCCAGAGTTGGCAACACTACCCATAACTGTTTTTAAACAACATTGAAAACAATGGAATCTAATGATAGCTCTCCAAGGTCTCTGCTGGTTTGGCTGATAAGAGGCATGAAAGTCATGGCCAGAGAGGTGAGGGGAGAAGCGTTGCAGAATGAGATCCTTGTAAGGACAATTCGTTCACGGTGGATGAAGGTTATGAGTGGAAGATTAAACAAAGAATGTATTTTCTCATTTTAATATGGAACAAATAGGACAAGGTCCAGCCAATGTTGGTAACATTCAGATCATACTGATTTTGATTAATATTAATACTTTATTTTGGTAAGATCATGTCCATAGTTACTACTTTTCTGTTTGGCATAAAGTGTTTTCTCATGGGTAACCATGTATGGGAGAAGTAGAATTAATTATGTGTACGAAGGCTGTTGCTTTCTTACAGCTGGGAGTAACTCTCTGATGAAAAGAATTTGGACTCTTGAAAGCTGGTACCCTGAACATCTCGTTGGACTCTAAGGTGCTACTGGACTTGAATCTTGCTCTTCTACTGCAGACCAACACAGCTGTCCACCTGAATCTTGATAGTAACGAGTGCCAGTTTCACACATGGGCTCGTCTCTGTAAAGCTGTTGATGCTGCAGATTTACGATGGTGGATCCATACATTGTGTACATTTCAGTGTTTTCACTACCCATGTCCCATATTTTGTCATGCAGACATGGTACATTAACAACCATCCTTCCTTTTCGTCATGGGTTCTGGACACTGCCCACTTATGGAATTCTGGGGTCACCTGGACATGCCCTGCCCAGTCGTGGTTGTGAGCCTTAATTTTAAACAGGAGATAAAACACCAAAGAACCAAAATGAAATGTAAAAAAGAGCAATAGAATGCCAGGCAGCAAAGCCATTATTGTGGCACTAACAACTTTCAAAAGAACCAAAACCTAGACCAGTTGCCTTGAATCTCTGTTGGTAGAAAGGCAAGATTTGTTGTTGTTGTTGTTGTTCAGTCGCACAGTCGAGTCCAACTCTTCGCGACCCCATGGACCAGATCACGCCAGGCCTTCCTGTTTTCCGCCGTCCTCTCAAGTTTGCTCAATTTCATGTTCGTTGCCTCGATAACACTGTCTAACCATCTCATCCTTTGCCGTCCCCATCTTCTTTGACCTTCAATCTTTCCCAGCATCAGGGTCTTCTCCAGTGAGTGCTCCCTTCTCATTTGGTGGCCAAAGTATTTGAGCTTCAGCTTCAGTATCTGGCATTCCAGGGAACAGTCTTCTTTGACCTTCAATCTTTCCCACTGATTTGATCTCCTTGCAGTCCAAGGGACTCTCAAGAGTCTTCTCCAGCATCATAGTTCAAAATAATCTATTCTTCGGTGCTCGGCCTTCCTTATAGTCCAACTCTCGCAGCCATACATGACTACTGGGAATACCATTGCTTTGACCATGCGGACTTTTGTTGGCAGGGTGAATGTCTCTACTTTTTATCATGCTGTTTAGGTTCGCCATCGCTTTCCTCCCAAGGAGCAAGCGTCTTTTAATTTCATGGCTGCTGTCACAGTCTGCGGTGATCT